CTCTTAATAAATCCTCTTAAATGAAGAATCCTCATTTGGCCTACAAAAAGCTACAGCCCTAAAATCAGAAATGCAAATGCCTGGTGCTTCTGGCAGCCACTCCCTGCACACCCTCAGCTCCACAGGGAGCTGGAGCCCTGGCCAAGGCACAGCTCTGGGGACTCAGCAGGAGCAGCTGGGCACAGCTGAAAGCAGCTGGGCACATCTGGACACCTCTGCCACCCCCAGGGACACCTGGAGGAATGCAGGACTAACACAGAACCGGGAGTGTGGATTGCAGGGGATTCCAGATGTTGTCAGTGCAGAAGGACACAGCATTTGATTTCCCTGTGTGACAGGAAGGTTTTGATCCCATGGCAGCACTCCTGCAGGCACAGTGGCACAGACTGTGCAGGCACAGGGCACACAGACAATTATGGAATCCATGGATGTGCTTCCCAAAGGCAGGGAAACCATCCTGAGGATGGAAGGACCATTAGCAGTGCACTCACAACCATCCCACACCTGACAGGCAGGTGAACTGCTCACCTCAGCAAGGGAGGACTCATCTCCTCATCTCATAGAAAAGATCAAAACTCTAATGGGCTTTGAGTAATTCAGTCTTTTCCCCCTGGCACTGTCTGAATTGTCTTTTCAAATTCTAAAGAGCAGAGATACACAATAAAGCATTTTCTTAGGGAAGTTCCTAACAAAGTTCCAGCTCCTGGTAACTTATTAGACCTAATGAAGAAAGTTTTTTTAAAAATAAGTAAAAATTAGACAACAAGCATTGCTGCCAGGATAATTTACACACCAGAAATTTCCTTTCCTCCCAGAAACAGCCTGTTATAAAGAAAGGACAGCTCAAAACCACAGCTCTGCTGCACATCTGCAACATGAAAACCTCACCTGGGCTTCGTTTCCAAAAGCAGAACAGAGCTCCAAGCCTGTCCCCAAACATTCAACACTACACAGAACTGGCCTGAATGGAATACCAGACCCACAACCAGATGTGTTTCCAAATGCCAGCTGCCATTGGAATTCTTCTGTGTTCATGGCTGGTAAATAAGCAAAGGAAAACTTATATCCAAAACTTTGCATACCCAATCAAAAGTGAAAAATAACTCCTATTTTTGCCTTCCCTTCACACAGACATGGCATTCTTTGTTTAGGTGAATGGGTACATGTGCATTACAAACTTGTATGACCCTAATTTACTGGCTTTGCAGCCAAATACACACAGATATTTCAGAAATCTTCCTTTCACTAGTTGGAATTATCATTTTTGAACACATGTGACCAAAGTTAAATGCTATATTTTGGGTGACTTCAACACAATTTCATCTATTTCAGTTCAATGGCATTAATATTTCCTTTCTCTATTCCTGTCTTTCTCTATCCCTTAATGATGTCACCTGACTATCATGGTTATTTTGATGTTATGGTGTGCTTTTACAATTTTTATTGAAATGGTGAGAAGGCAGATATTAAACAAACCTGGCTGACCAATACAGAAAAACTCAATTTCACAGGCTAACTTATCTCCCTCATCTGCTGGGGCTTATGTGTCTCAGCAGGTCAGGCCCAAACTAACTTTTATACATGGAGATTTTCCGGAGATAAAAAAACCCCACAAATTTCAGATGAGTTTTTCCAGATACTGTCAGATGCAATAGCAAAAAATTAATTAGGAACAAAACAAAAATCCCAAAGCATTTCCTATTGTCTGCAGCAAGCACAAGACCCACCCCAAGCAATTTATGCCACAGCACAGCCATAAATAGCAGCTCTGGGATGCTGCCCCATCCTGCAGAGGAAAAAGCTCATCTGCCACAGTTCCTGGGGGACTCTGAGCACTCAGCCTGCCCTGCCATCCACACTCCAGCACTTCTGCAGGCACAGGGAAAGGGACCAGGAGGGGCCAAACAGGGTAAGTGTCAGCCAGGCACTTCCCCAGCTCTCCCTTCTGCATTTCTGCCACAGTTCTTGTTTCTGTTTGAGTTTGAGTTTCTTGCTGTTTCTGCATTTAATCAGAAGAGATGTCTTTTCCATAAATATCATTTAACTTCTTTTAGCCAGCTGCCCTAGTCTGTCCTTCTAAGATGTTTACTTTGGGAAAAAGAGCTCTGGTAGATTTCTTGAAAGATCACAGATGAGTATCTGGCTTCAGAGCAAAGATACTCAGAATACCCAATCCTAGATTTCAGTTTATCTTAATGGCTAAAATAGGCTTTAAGGATGGACAAAACAAAATGTAGTGTATGTACCAATGTTAAAAATTGGTTCATGAACCATCCAAGCAAAAAAAATTGGGAGTGGGGGAGGTGGGTAGAACCACAATATAGAAGGCAATATCAAGAGCAGAGTTCAGTCTGGGCAGTTATAGAAGAAAATGTGGAAAAGAATATAAGCAACGGGTGGCACAGGATACAAAGAGGAACAACAGAGTATTTGTCAACTCACTGACAAATACATAGGAGAGTTGAGTATTTCAGCTTCAGAAAGAAAGAAGACTTTCAGACATTTACAATTATTCAATCCCTTAAGTTTCATTTTGAAAACTGGTTTAAACACACAATTTTAACACTAGATCTATTAATATATGGAAGCAGAATAGAAACCTTTGCCTAAAACGAAACTGATTTTTCCTGTCATTTCCTGGTGACATTCTGCCCCAGAATTTTGATCAATGATAGCTTTTGTACAATTATGAAGGGAAAACAATGAACCAGAGAGGGAAGGGAAGGGAAGAACTGTGCTTTGTCTTCAGTGTTTATGCTGAAGTTGGGGAGAGTGGTTCTGTGGGACATACAGAAAGCTAAAGATTTGTCATAGTTGAGATGGAGACAATGCAAAGCAACACGCTCCATTTCCAGAAGGCTTCAGAGCCTGTTTTTATTCTAGCATGCATGCTTTTTCTACATTCTGACAAAGCACATAAGTTTACACTTGACTCATTGGTCACAAGAGACAAGCAAAGTACTTATTGGAATAGGAAGTTGCAGGTTTCTCTCATTCATCCTTCTTTCTTTCTTGGTTTGTATGTCAATGTGCTTGGTAGAAAATTCTTTCGGGGTAAACATGGATCTTCTTATCAAACTTCTCTCTGGCTCCCAGAAGTCTTTGTAAAACCTCTTCCAAAAAAAAGAACAAAGATTTTACTCCAGAAACCTGACATTGTTGAGGCAGGATGGGAACGAGATGACTCCACTTCAGAAGGCTGAGATTATAATTGATTTATTTCAAAATGCGTCGCTCTTCATACAGAATTTTGTGTAGACCAACTCCATTGGTCCTGAAGTGAAAACACCTCAACTATTGGTGTGCAGTGAATGACACACAGTGGTAGAACTTAACTATAAACAATGCGAACAACAAGAGAGATAAAGAATTTACATTCTTTTCAGCACTTTCTCAGGCTTCTGCCCAGTTAGAAACTTTGACTGAATCTGAGACTGACAGAAACCCAAACCTGGGGAAGAATTAACTGCTGTGGCTCTGCTCTCAGAACCATGGTAATAAGCCTCACTTGTTTTTTGTGCAGCTGCAGATGGAGCTGCTGGCGGTGCTGGGCTGTGCCCTGCTGCTCCCCAGGGCCCTGGCCGAGGATTGTCCATCCCCGTGCAGCTGCTGGTCCCTGGGGGAGCCCTGGGGGACAGGGGTGGACTGCAGCTCGCGGGGGCTGCGCGCCCTGCCCGCCCTGCCCCGCCTGACCCGCAGCCTGCGCCTGCACAACAACAGCCTGGCCGCCATCCCCGCCGGAGCCCTGGACAGCCTGGGCCACCTGCAGGAGCTGCAGCTCTGGGACAACCCCTGGCACTGCGACTGTCACATCCTGTACCTGAAGCTCTGGCTGCAGGATTTCTCCGCGCCCGCGCTCGCCCGCCTCAGGTGCGCCAGCCCCGCTCGGCTGAGGATGAAGGCCCTGGGGCAGCTGACTGGGAATGATCTGGGCGTTTGTACCAGGCTTCTCCCAACCAAGTGTCTCCAGTTCTTCTGGAGAGACCTCGCTTTAATTGCTGGGGCGATAATTACCCTCCTTTTAGTGGCATGGGCTCTGAAGTTCTCCAAAAAGCTGGTGTGCCAGCTCAGCCTCGGGAGGCGGCGGCTGAGGAGGAACATCCCCAAAACACACAAGGTACTGTGAGCTCCTTCCTGCCACCAGCCTGGCAGAAACTCCAAACTCCTCCACAACAAAAAAGCAAAAGCACTGATAGCACTGGTTTGAATAGTCAATGCTAGAAAAGCCCAAAGTCTGAGTCCTCAGGCAAGCTGGATTTAATTTTTGTCCAAAAAGAAGCTTGGTAAGGCTTGGACAGGCAAGTTGCACCCTGCTGCCATCTGCTCATATGAAGAGCAGTTTCCACATTTTTAAAAATCATTTAACTTAACATTTTCCCACTGGATTCTCAGCCCTTATAGAAAGAAGATTTCCACCCCTACACTTTTTAATATATGGAGATAAACACCAATTATATTATTTTATAACAACTCTTTTCTCAGGCTCTGTGAGTTTACAACTCAGCAGCATCTCTCGGTGTCCCAGGGGGCTTGGTAGGACCATTCCTGTGTGCAGGAAAACTCAACCCTCTCTTCCTCAGATTCAGGAGTTTCTTGCCACCAAAACCACCCAGATTATACAGACCAGACACTGAATGGATCCCTGCTTGAAAACAGTTAAAGATGGACTGGTCATGACAACACAATCAGCAAAATAATTTTAAATCTTAGGGAATTTCCTGGAGGGTGAAAAATAATAAAGCATTCTATGTGGAACTGAAAGAACGGATGCTTATTGAACATTCATATTGACCAAAATTTGATCTCTTTCACGATTCTAAACATTTCTGATTAAATTTCTAAGATATTTTCAGAAGTTGTCCTCTGGAGATAATTTTAGAATATTTCCCCTGCCCTGAGCTTTTCAATTTTTTAAAAGACAGCCACCATTCTGTACGAATGCAGAACATTACAGAAGAAATGCACTCTGTCATCTCTCATGGATTTTCCTACATGATATTTCTTGTTTCCCTGAAATGAAATAAATCATTCAGACTAAGAGCTTATCACTCTCTTCTGTGCCTATAAACTAGATATGCATAGAATAACAAACTGCTTTACTGCATGGCTTCAATAGTACAAATGTATTAAAAATGGGCAATTAGTGAACATTTCTGCTTGCACCAACAAACACATCAAATAAGATGCACAAAATACAGGAAAGAAAATTGTGAGAACTTTTCTGTCCCTATAAGAGGAAAGAGGAGGGAATCTCTTCCATGGCAGCAGTTTACATTCTACCAAAACAGCCTTGTATTTATAACTTTTCAACCATTTGTGTTTTATCTGGGAAAAAAAACCTCTCTGCAAAGGGGACAGTTGGAACTAACTGAGGGCTCAAAAGCAACACTCAGTGTTTATCTGGCAGGGCCACTGCATCATGCTTTAGCCACACACTCCATCAAACTGCATAACTACCACCACAGCTGCTCATAACGTGCAAAGGCAGGAAAATACATCAGCTATCAAAATAAAACACACAGGCAGCACTCCCAAAATGGGTTTGGAACACCCCAGAAACTGTCACTGCATCCAGCCTGCAAGGGGCAAACTGCTGGCTGTATCTGCTTGCACAATCTGGGAACACAGATGTGACCGCTGGGATGATAAAATATAAAATTAAAATAAAATAAAATAAAATAAAATAAAATAAAATAAAATAAAATAAAATAAAATAAAATAAAATAAAATAAAATAAAATAAAATATTATGAGGTTTGCTTTCACAGTGGGCAGGAGATGTCATGAGAGTCAGCATTATTGACCAAAACCTCACTGTAGCACACAGAGAAGGTTTGTGTGAACAGGAAATTTGTGTGAACAGCAATTCTGTGTAGACTGAAACTCTAAGTTAAGGTGAGGAATATTTGAAGGTTTCATTTATTAAATATCATGGTATGTGAATCACCTTTTTGCCTATAAATTCTCTGTGTTTTGTTGACACTGGAACTTCTGTTCAGCTTCCTGCTTGCCTTCTGCCAGGCTTTAGTTAGAGTTTATTCCAGGTGTGAATGCACCAGAGCAGTTTGCAAGGCTCCATCATCACAAAATGTTGCTCTCCTTTGTGCTACAGAACCACCATCCTGACAGAACATTATTATTAATAATATGATTATTAATGTGCTAACAGCCAGCTCTGGAGCTCCCTGGAACACAAGGCAGCTCATTCCCTAAGAACCACCCTGTCTCAGCTCAGAGCAGGCTGAATAAACCAGCCCAGCCCTGCCCAATGGAATAAACCAGCCCAGCTCTGCCCAAAGGAATAAACCAGCCCAGCCCTGCCCAATGGAATAAACCAGCCCAGCTCTGCCCAATGGAATAAACCAGCCCAGCTCTGCCCAAAGGAATAAACCAGCCCAGCCCTGCCCAGTGAAATAAAAGTGGCTCTGCCTTGTGTGTCTGGCTTTGCAACACTGATGTTGCTCCTCTGGGTGCAGCCACTCTGGGGCTCACTGCTGAAATCAGCTACAAATATTATTTTCTGCACCAGAACTGAAAGAACTGAAGCTCTTCTGCTTGTTTATAAGACAGAAGGATTTCCAAATCCAGAAAGAAAGCAGCAGCACGATTGCCCCTGGGCAGCAGCAGCTGCTGGGGCCACTGGAGCTCCTGGGAAAGCACAGCAGGAACAGGGGAGCCTGGGGAGGAGCTGCCCAAAAGGTGCCAAGGGTGGAGATGAGCAAATGGGGAAAAAAGGCACTTGATAATCCTGCTTTTTAATATATTTTAATTTTATTTTTAATGGAAAATACCTTCTTCCTGCCTGCACAGGGCAGTGGCAACTGCCAGCAGCTCCAGTCCAAGTGCCACTGCCAGGGAGGGCTGGGCACCTGGACAGGGTAGGAAATGACATGGCTTGGGGAACAGAGCCTACTCAAGCCCTCCTGCCCTGGCAGGAGCATCTGTTTGCAACAAAGGAGCAAAAGTGCATGCCTGTGATGTAAGTTATTTTAGAAGAGATGCTTATTCAAAGTAAAATTGCAATATTTTCACTAAAATGTACCTACCACTGGTGTTGAGTCACTTAATTTGCATGATTTCTACCTGGTCCTGTGTTCCAAGGATGTTGGTATTTTAAGAACATACATTTCTCATGTGTTTCAGCTTCTGCAGGTGAAGGTTAAATGATGAATGAGATCTAAGTGTACTCAACAGCTTTTTCTTTTCCCCCACCAAGTAAAGAGGAAGAAATCTGAAAACAGCTTTTTATTTCACCCATGCTTTGAGAATCAGCCCAGCCTTTCCCAGGAGCTCTGGGCAGCTCCATGTGGTGAATATGTGGCATTTTTCCATTCTGATAGTCTTCTCTTATTTGTTGATGAGTGTAGGAAGTAGATTTGAATTTACACATCTCCATGGGCTCACACTCATATCTAACCTGAGAGGATTTTGACTGTAAACCTGTCCTAAGGTTTGCTCAGCAACTTAGGTAAAATCAATCCACACTAAATTCATACTAGAGACCAAGCACAGCTTTGCTCTTAGGAACAAAATACATTGCAAAGTTAACCAGTTTTTTCTGTATTTATCATTTGGTTAAGTGGCTGTGCATTTAAGGATACAGATTTAGTGCTCCCTTTCAAAGAATTTAACTACACAGAAAACAAGTAATACAAAGTAAAATATTTTTTTTCTGTTCAGTTAAACACCAGCTAAGTCATAAGAGATATGTCACATAATGACAATAATTTTCCATTTTATTTGCACATCTTCTGCTTGCACTGACCAGATATGGAACTGCATTAAAAACTCCTAGAATAACTCATCCAAAAAAAAGAGAAAAACTCACCCTAGGAAAAAGTTTCAAACAGCAGAAAACCAAGACTATTCTTAACTTAATAGGACAAGAAAAAAAAAAATAGGGATTTATTCTATTTTTGAACTAGTAAACATAACTGTAAGAACAAAACAGTAATTAAATGTACAAAACACATTGAATGCAGTGGAACAGGCTCTTGGCTGGTGTGTGCTGCCACTATTGTATTCTAAATTAATTAGTCAATACACATTCATTCTCATGCTGGTTTATGTTTAAATGCACTATTTGGGGAATTATAAAAATAGAATTTGAGGCTTCACAAAACTGCTGTTCTTCCTGGATTCTTAAGGCCCACACACTTGCATGTTATGATTTATACCTTAATTACAGGATTTTATCTTCACTGCCAACAGATGAAATATTAACAATTCCTACCTAATTACTCCTTTGATGGTGCTAATTTTACTGTAATGCTTAGCAATGCTAAGTTTATTTATCTTAATGCCTTTTCTCTCCAGAGCACAAAACTATTTCCCAAAGTGTTGAGGCTCTGTTGCTGGAACCCATGTAATTATTTTGCCATTAGATTGACTCCAGTGAAATTCAGATTACACTCAATAATGGGTGTGTGACAACAAATTGCTCCAGTTGCATAATGGCCACGTGGCTGCTATTTATACTGAGCTCCTTCCCAGGGGCACTTTGCTCCTGACGTGGCCTCTCCAGTGCCTTCCCAGCAGAACTTCCAACGTTCATCCCAGTGATATCACAGCTACTGCCTGACCTGGCACCTTCATTTTAGGCAAAAGAAACATTAGCATTTAGAATTTTGGTCAGATTTCATTTGGCTTGGCTTGTCTGACCAGCAAGCATCCAGTTCTCTAGCAATCCAGACTTATTAAAATTCAATGGTGCTGTTCTGCATCAAGACATTCCCTGGGAAAAGTGGATTGAAATCTCTTCTCTCAGAATACTATTAAGGAATAAGGCTACAGAAATACAGAGCATTCATCTTAGTCCAAGGGGGAAAAACTCAAATTAAGCCCTTTCTTAAATGACCTTAATCTCTAGGGAAGGGAGTGTCAGCAGGGATGGATTGCAGCCTCCCTTTTCTCCTTGAATCATCTTTCTTCTCTCCTCTTTAGGGGTCAAAAGGGTTTTACTTCTTAACTAATAATTTATTTTTTGACAAAGATTCATAGGTTGCCTCTTAGGGCCATGGAGAAGGAGTCTGGGACCTGACACATCCAAATAAAATCAACCTTTGCAACCCTCTCCCATCAGCAGCAGTGCAAAGCAGGGGAAGGTCATGGCAATGGCCACGACACC